GAGGGAGGGAAGGAGGGAGGGAGGGAGGGAGGGAGAGAGGGAGAGAGAGAGAGAGAGAGAGAGAGAGAGAGAAGAGGGAGGGAGGGAGGGAGGGAGGGAGGGAGGGAGGGAGGGGAGGAGTGAGGGAGGGGGAAAGAAGGAAGGAAAGAAAGAAAGAAAGAAAGAAAGAAAGAAAGAAAGAAAGAAAGAAAGAAAGAAAGAAGAAAGAAGGAAGGAAGGAAGGAAGGAAGGAAGGAAGGAAGGAAGGAAGGAAGGAAGGAAGGAAGAAAGGAATAAAGGGAAATTATTGAAGGGATCCACATGGCTGACTAAACCCCACAGTGTACCTTTCCAGCTTGCAGCATCGTTGGACCCATGGTACCCTACAAAACGGGGACTAAGCTTTTTAGGAGAAAAGAAATAGTTACCTCAAAAGTGAACAATAGAATTTATCTTATAAAAGGCAAATTAATTCAGGATATTTGTAAGCTCACTGTAACCTCTACATGTTAAGCGGTAATTTTCTGAAACTGTATGGTTTATCCTGGGGAAAAGAATAGTTGGGCAGAAAAATCATAAACACCACAAGTAAACACATTTTTATTATTTAAGTTCCTATTAGGGTATCTATAGACTATCATAAGAGAGCTTTGAATGAAGCACAATAGCACGCTATATTTATGTGTTAACAAAGTGAACATGACTTCATTTAAAATAAAATAGATGTTCTTTATTCCCCGATACTTTAGAAGAGAAACTAAATTATAAAGATAATATTTCTTCAGATATTAGGAGGAATCCAGTTTACTATGATAACATAAGGAAAACGAGTAGAAGAGTGGGTGGGAAGAGAAAGTGAACATTACGTTCTCTTACCTTATCTCAAGACTAATTTTAGAAGCTCAAAAACTAAAATGTAAATCACAAAACCACAAAGCGACAGAAAAGTAGGTAGCTAGGCAAATAGAAAAGAACGTTCAAATATAAAAAGGATAAGAACATCACTAATAATAGGACACTAAAAAAATAAATGCAATGTGTAAGTAGTAAATGTTATTAATCACTTCGTATGTATCTAACGCTGTCCCACATTCTAGGGATACAGCCATGAACAAAACAAACGGAATATCTGCCTTCCTTAAATTTACATCTCATTGCAAGAAAATGAGAAAATGTACAAAATGGAAATAAAATACACGGTGTTGGATAACACTGAAAAGGAATATTAAATAAAGAAAAGACATGAGTATATATATCAAGATTTAGGGGGAAGAGTTTTGATTCCAGGCTAAGGAAAACTTCTCTAAGGTAGTAAAATTCTGGAAAGGGTAAAGTATGAGAGAAACCAAGGGAGAGATAGACACGAGACGAGAAATACAGAAGCCAGGGGGTGGAATTTGACTAAAATGTTCTCAAGTTCCAAGAACTCACCCTCCAATCCCATTCAATTGTTGTAGAATTCCTCTTTGGAGGACAAAATGGGGAAAGGTTGACAGATATCAATACACGGAGGGGCACAGCTCTAGTAAGACCAGACCATTTTGCTCAACCTCATGTTAGGCAAACAAGCCCTCCCCAAATATCAGTAGTTCCCGTACCAGATTATAAACACTTGTTCTCAAACGTGAACTAACACTCATGGATTATTTATCACGTGAAGAAAGTCCATACTAAAAAAGACAGAACCTAAGGAACGGAGGAAAGAGGAAATCAAAGAGGCAGGACCAATAACTTTGTTTTGAATAAACAAATGTGATCCATATAATTAAATTCAATACCAATTTTCTTTGTTTTGAATGTATAATAAATGATCTGTATAATTAAATTCTAAATCTAAAATGATTCACAAAAGTTATATATACATTACATACACATGAAAATCAACTAATATCAGACAGAAAAGTGAGCACATAACAAGTCTAAAAAAAGATCATTAAATGCTGTTTAGAAAAAAAAAAGTTTAAGTAAAAATAGCTAAACATCCATCGATAACATGTCAGAAGATTGGGATATATGTGAGTTGGAAAGCTCCCACAGTATAGAACAAAAAAAAGCAAAATGATGCAAAATAGGGGAAAAACTCAATAAGAAAATGATGAGGCCCTTCAGTTCAGGAACTGAAAAAGGAATAGAAGAAATAAAGGAAGAAATAATGTCCTTTAAGTGAAGGATGTGAATCATGAATGTGCCCCTTATGGAGAGAAGGACAAGATATGTGAGCCTCATACAATCATGACATCTCCTGCTACTGGGGATAAAGAAAAGATTACTATTTTTGTTTAAGAAGCAAGGAAAAGATTGACTGACAAATACTCAGAAATCAGTAAATTAATCAAATTTTCTAGAAATGCCCTTCAAGTTAAAATGAGGTTTCAAACTTGTCCCCCCATGCATATTTTGAATGCAAGCATCTCCCCCTTTTAGACATTGAGTCTAAAATGTCTAAGTCTAAAAGTCTAGCGGACTTCAAATACAGGACCAGACACCTCCACCAACACAGGCCATGAGCTCAGAGGAGTCAGGAGGGTTTTTTAAAGTAAATCCTACAAGTAGACAAAATTCCCTGATCATCAGACTTTTCCTTGAATCCAAGAAACAAGACATAGGGTGAGAAGAAACCCCAAGTTGTGGACAAGTCTGTGAAGCATCTAGTCTGATAGGGGTATCAGAAGCAAGGGTTGAAAAGGGGAGGCTCCGTGAAAGAGCTGCTCTGTCAAGAAGAGTCCTACAGGGATAGAAAGACGACAGGAAAACAACTGCAGCTGAATTCTGAGATATTTCCTAGGACTTCACTGGTCTTGTGAATTCTGAAACTAAGAGCTAGTGGTATGAACTGGCTGGATGGTAGCTTGACTCTACCTGGTAATTACATAATCCACAGGGTCCCTTTAATAAACATCAGTTTCCTCTGCACACAAAAGGTTCTTTTTGTTTTGTTTTATTTTATTTATTTATTTATTTATTTTGGTTTTTCAAGACAGGGTTTCTCTGTGTAGCCCTGGCTGTCCTGGAACCCACTCTGTAGGCCAGGCTGGCCTCGATCTCAGAAATCCGCCTGCCTCTGCCTCCCAAGTGCTCGGACTAAAGGCGTGCGCTACCACCACCTGGCATTTTGTTTTATATTTTTATTTACCCATCTATTTTTGGAGCCAAGGATCCAAACCCGGCCTTGTGCATGTCAAATATGTGCTTGACCATTGAGTTATATTCCCTAGCCTAGGGATAACACTTTAAAACAGTAAAAGCAAGAGAACATCTCAGTCCAAATAGTAAGGAAGGAGAAAATATGAATGATATTACTAATATCTGACTCTATCCTCTTCCAAATTATCAAATAAAACCCCAAATAACCCCAGGGATATGGATGGGAGTCTCTGTGGTAGTAAACATATGATATTCCTCCACAGTCTGTAAGACATTCTCTCATGGATTCAATCCCTGTGGCTTAGATGCCAGCCATTATCTCAATGGACTGACACTCCCCATATGGCCACAGATTTGGACCATTCTATTAAGCGTAGACCCCTAGGTGTTCTATAATTACTATTTGTATTTTTGTCTATTGTATACTCGTTGGATATTTTCAAATACATTATTTTCCATGAGCAATTGATTTTATTGATTAAATTCAAGTACCACTTACCCATACTGTGTACTGAGGCTCCAAATTACCACAATCCTTTGCAAATATATAAGAACAGCTTCCTGGGAAGTAATAGTAGATTCCATCAAATGTTTCAAAGTGATACTGTCCCCAGGTTTTGCAAATCCCATCTCTGCCACTTCCCATGTTTGGGACTGAAAAGAAATAAAAGAATATTTACTAGGGTAAAATAGATCGCATCGATCTCAAAATGTTCAGTCACGATAATTGTAATTTTCACTGATATAAGTATTGTCCCCCTTTGAGTGGTGCATGGCACAGAAAGAAACAAGTAGCAGTGAACTGAAGGACTTATGTTAAAAACTCCCTGTTGTTTCCAAGAGACAGATCTGGAAGAAAGGATGAGAATGAAAAATGATACAAGAATACAGTAATGATGACCCGGCAAATGAATGCCTCAGAAAGGAAAGATAGATCATCATGGAATGTTCTAGAACAGCACGGGCAGCATGAGAATGCTCCAGTCTCCATAATTCTTTATTTTTTTTTAATTTCCTTATAGTACCCAAAGAGAAAAATAAATGATGACCAAAAAAAATTAATAAATAAATAAATGATGTGTATCCGTGCCTGAAAATGGAGCAGAAAGCATTAGTCATTCGGTTTCCGGGAATCTCAAAATGATGACCTCAGACTGGTGAAATTTCAAACAATGTGTACTTTAAATCAAATGGCTTCATCTATTATGATCATGCCTCTCCTCTAGAAAAACTTCCCCTCTGTTCTACTTTTGTTTGTGTGGTGGATAATGTTCATTATTGTGTTGGGTGTGGTATGGGTGGGTCTCATTGTGTTGCAGCAAGAAAGTGTTTAAGGACAATTTTGTGGAGTTGCTTCTCTCCTGCATAAGTGGGTTCTGGGGATAGAACTCCAATCTTGGCAACAAGGGCTTCTCCCTGCTAAGTCATCTCTTCACCATCACCACCACCTCCACCACCACCTCCACCACCACCTCCACCACTACCACCACCACCACCACAACCACCACCACCACCACCTCCACCACCACCACCACCTCCACCTCCTCCTCCACCACCACCACCACCACCACCACCACCACCACCACCACCACCCAGGTGCCATTTTTTATATTTTAAATGCTTCACTTTATAATAATGTAAAAAAAAAAAAAACAGGAACATTTGCTAAAATGTCACTAGGTGGGTTTTGATATACTCCAGGGAAATCTCAAAGATAAGGAGGAGTCTTAATTTCCTCTCCTTCTGAAACATTTACCTAAATTTATCAGCTCAGGCTAACTTTGGTCCACTCAGGAAAAGACAGCCTTCCCCAACAGTGGGTCTTACATCTTGCACTTTTCTTTAGAACGCTGAAGTGTAAGTATTGCTCATTTATTATGCATCACTGGGTGCTGGAGCATGTTATATCATACACAAACATACCCGGCCTTGTACCTCACATACTGTCCTGCAACTGGTAAAAAACTGGCTATTATCCGTTAATAATTATTAACCTAAGGTCCTATCTTAGACACTGTGGATAAAAATACTTTAAAATGAAAACTTATCCTACCTAAAGAGTTCTCAGTACTTTTTCTAATCTACATATTTAATGTCCAACTAACAGAACACGAAGAAGAAATGCTTCAAGTAAAATATACTAAGTACAAGAGAGATATAAACGAAAAAACGGTTCAACTGGGCTAATGCCAGAAAATAAAGGGAAAAATATACTTGAGGAAATAGAGATTGGTGGAAAGGGCAAGTACACACTTCTATTTTCTTTTATAGTGTTTCTACATTACTTCAAACTGATGAAAATAAATTTTGAACTTTCTAGTTAATGTCCCAAATCCCAGGGGATGAACATTTCCAACCAAATCATGACTTAATGTTCTCTTTCATATCCCATAATTCTCTCATAAATATCCCTGAAACTTACCAATCTGGCACCTTGTCCCGAGAGCTTGGAATATTTGACAGTCACACGTACCCGTCTTAGAACAGAAAGCCCCGTTAAGGCATTCATGAGGACACGAACCTGAGGGACAAAATAATAATTTATCTTCTGGCATGGATCAGCTCACATAAACACAATATGTCACAATCTAGCTTGGACTAACTGTAACACTGTTAACTTAAACAGAACCCGGGCCTTTTGCCTTGTGGTGCTAAAGAATTAAGCCATCAAATCTCTATCTATTCATTTCATTATGTGTGCTCTGAAGCAAGAAAGACAGGCTTTCACATCTCGAAGTACTTTGAGAGAGAAGGTTAGCCTCCTTCGAGCAATTGAAAGGTCAAGTTCCCATGTAAGGAATCCCTGTCCGAGATGATGAGAACCAGAAACGCCCAAGCTGTAGATGATTCCCTGCACCCAGGTTTGGAGCACTTCCCATCAGCCCCTTCTCCAGGAGCAAGCGCTGTGCTCAAGAATAACTCAGACCTTGCTCACATCGGGGAGGGCTCAAGCATAGCATAAAAACTCAAAGGGAAACTCCCACCTTCGATGAGATGAGTGACACATTTCAGCTGAAGTTTGCCCACTAATACTGAGGCTAGGTTATATAATGACCCAGTCTTTGGAAATCGGTGCTTAACAAAGATGAGGCAGAAGCAAAAGTCACCTCACCGCCCCAACCCCGCCCCCGCAAATACTTTTTTCATGGAAAGAAAGCTTGCCCCACACAAATATATTAAAAAGAAGCAGCAAGTTGCTACACGCGTTCTTTAATCTCAACGGCATCTCCTGAGTGAGTTGGAGAGGGCAAAGGAATGCTACGTAAATGTTTCTTCTGTTAAGAAGACAACAGCAACTGGCAAAGCTCAGTCTGAAAGGACCCCAGTTACACATCAGGAGAAGAGAAGACCTTTGAGTCAACTGTGAAAATATCACTTAAGAAGCTGGGGCTGTCTGGAAGATGTCACACTGGCAAAGGCACTTGTCTGACTGTAATAACAAACACGGTCTGCCAAATACAAGCAGAGCAAAGTCCTGTTATCATTTTGCCCCTAAACATATCCAATGACTTCTCTTTACAATTCAAAGCCTACAGATTTCTAAGTAAATTTTAGGTGTGTGGGGGTTGGGGGGAGGCAGGGGAGGAACTGTTTTAACTTAAACTAAAATACAGGTGAAAATGTTTCACATGAACTTAACAAGCAGTGTGGCTTTTCTTTAAGAGATATGCCTATCTTACGCTGGGTGGGTGTCTAAATATTTAGTTTTTGAAAACGTATTTACAAAGCTGCTTACTCTATTGAAAGCAAACATCGAACTTTGCTGGGACTTTAAACATGATGATAAAATTTATTTCTGTTTCTATAAATTTTATGCTACCGCCAGCTTTCTGCTTAACAGAAATATTATACTGCTAAAACAAAAAGCTGACAGTGGAGAGGGAAGGACCAGGTCATTGACTGGGAGCAAAGAGAAAGCTTCTGCTTCCCTTCCGTGTTCTCTCCAGTCACACTGTCGGCAGCTTCGTCCAAATGTTTAGCTCTGGCCAATCTAAAAATACTTTGGATTTGTGTAGGACATGACCTTAAATGATTACTATTATTACCATCGTGGCTCGGTCCTTCCCAGCATATATGGAAGCAACAAAGAACTGATTTAACATACCAAGGGACCGTCTCAGAAAACATAGAAGAACAGCAAGATTTAACATAGTCCCGCCCCCCACCAAGGGATCATCTCAGAAAACACAGACAGAAGAACAGCGACCCACACTGACCTTTTATTTTACTCTCACCCCAATTAATAGCTTCATGGAAAAAATATCTCGGAGAGGTTGCTTCAGACTTTTAAAACAGAGAAATACAAATGCAAATTAGTTTGTTTAACATAAGCCAAACATGCCAATAAAGAAATTCTGGGAGGCGTTTTTAAATACAGAAATTATAAAGCACTGACTTAATGTATCATTCCATGATCCAGACCCATCTCAGGGAAGCAGGAAGGGTTTCCTTGGAGTGATGGTCGGAAGAGCCAGCTTCAAGCCTTCTTTCTGTCTCTGGCTACTTACACAAGGCATTTGTCCTCTGTGCCCTTGTTCCGCTTGCACCTACCCCAGTCCATCACCCTTGTGTGAAAGGAACCCTAAAAAGGCACTGTTGTCTTAACTGATTCTTCACATACAAAAGTAACAGTTCTCTGATGGTTTCAGATACAAGCATATTAAGGGTAGTCCAGGGGATCGATACACTAAGAGTCAGTGCTGACCTGCCTATATTCCAGGCTATAAAACCATCACTCACAGAAACACCCTCTGACACTTTACTTCTACTTAGACACATTTCTTATCAGTGTAATGCCTCCATCTGTTCATCTGTAGAATGGGAGCGGTAATGACACCTACTTCACTGTGTGGCATAGCAATAGAGTAAAACACTGTCCTGTAAGCTTGTAGGAAGAACGAAACTTATACTGTTTTAAACAACCCATGTGAAATGTTGTGATTTAAGAGTTATTATAAATAATTATATATTGCTTAAGCTAATCACTTATAGAGTCTCAGCCCAACTCAATTCCAATTACATGTATAGTTCAGAATCATTTCCTTACCAATGGCATTTTGTATTCACCTGAAGATATACACTCAAGCGTTGACACATGGTTATCAAATTGAGTAGCTGGTGATGTTAGGGAAACTGGAGCAGGATGTAAAATAAGCATAAAGGGTGATGTGATGTAAGGACCAAGATCTTCGACCTCTAATTCTGATGATTATTCTCACACGTGAAAATTTTGATTTAAGCGTTTTCCTTGTGTGTGTGTGTGTGTGTGTGTGTGTATGAAAGAGAAAGATACATGTATGTACTTGCTCAAGTGTGTACACATAGGGATGTGCATTTGCCTATGGAGATCAGAGGCTGACATTTGCTGCCTTCCTACCTTATATTTTGAGACAGGGTCTCTTGACCTAGAGCACAGGGATTCAGTTAAACTGACTAACCAATCAGCTCCAAGCATCTTCTGTCTGCACCTCCCTGATCTGTAATTAATGGCAAAAGGCCATGCCTGATCTTTTACTGAGAATGTCAAGCACAAGCAAGTCCTTGCCCTTTCATGGCAAGTACCCACTGGTTCATGTCCCTAATGTCCCTAGCCCCTCAGTATGTTCTTTAAACACAACTCACCCCATGGTATGTGATATGACCATTATATTCTCTCGCGTGTTGAGAACTCTTAAAGATTCACTTCTAAACTCTTTTCTGTATACCAGAGCTCCAAGTTCATAAGTTCATTATTGCCTCCTTGCAAACTGGTCCATGTTTTATCTTCACTTCTCAATCCCTTCCATTTTTATTTGCCTTGTCCTCAACCAACGTGGCCTCCACAGTTTATGTCCACGGTGCCACCATGATGCCAAGCTTCATTTGCTCTTCCACTATACTGTCCCCAGCTTGCCCAAATCAAATAGACACTAACACTTCTGTGCACATACCATCTCTGAAGCTCTTTGCCTCTGAAATAATTTATGCCAGTCCTTGCCGTGGAAACCAGTCCCTCATCCCTGATGTGTGACAAACGTATAGTGTCTTAACTCTATCTCATACCGGCCTAAGTCCCTGAACAAATTAGCTAGTTCGTGTAGCCTCCGTTTTCAATAAATAAAAAAAGAATAACAGTGTCTTCCTTACAGAACCAGGAGGATAAAATGAAACAATCAATGATGTAATAATACTCCAAGCACATCATAAGAAGGATAGGCTTGCTGTCTCTTACTATTACTAAATGAAAATGGAATAGAGGGGGTATGAAGATAGCTCAGCAGGTAAAGCCTGATAACCTGAGTAGAATTTCCAGGACCACATAATGGAAAGAGAAAGACTCCCAAAAGTTGTCCTCTGACATCCATGTACATGTCATGATATGAGAGCATACACATGCTACACACGCACACCACACACTCACACATCCTCGTGCAGACATGTACACAGACACACACACACATACAAAATGAATGAATGAATGAATGAATGAATGAATGAATGAATGAATATACTGTATCATACTGGACTAAGACAAATACATATATTTGTTCTTACTCTGCTCAACTTTGACCTCCTCTAAAGAAATCCCAGTGACCACTTAACACACCAGCTTCCTGACAATTCAGCAACCTGTCTGTTTCTCCAGCTCCATAGTGCATTTCAAAGGTGTAGAGTTCCACACTCGGTACTAGAGCTGGGAACATTTCTGAACTCAGAACAGTATGCTACTTTAATAAGTGGGGCCTTTTCATTTTTATGTTATGTACATCACATCCAATAATCCATGGTGACTCAGATTCAATGAACCATTTGCATGGAAAATGATTTCTTTACAGATCCCTGGAGACACGAAGTTTCTAAATTCACAAGCATGGCAATTCTGCATGACATGACTCCTGGCAAGCCAGCAACAAGTACCAACTGAACTGGAATAGAAAGATATAGTTCAAATGGGAATCTGCCTCTCGTCATATTTAGAGCAATGACTAAAGCAAACTCCAGCAATGCTTTTTCAGCCCGTATCACATTCACTTGGATTTCTGTGGGAATGCAGAACCTCCAACTCCAAGCCCAGCTTTCTTTCTATCTCTCCCTGAGGACAGAGTCCAAGCAGGGCTTTTAGGATATTTCAGATGCACTAGCTCCTCTCTTTGATCAGTAGGAAAACAGGAATTGATGGGCTATAAATATTCCAGTTTCCCCATCCCTTGCAGAAACAAGAATGAGAGGCTACTTATCACGTTCCCAATAAGACTGAGCCCTAGATGGCTACATCAGGAAGCCCCCATTCATATGCCCTGAATTGTGTCTTCTCCTTCTCTTCTTTCACTTTTGTCTGACCCTCCTTAGTATATTTTCCAGAGACTGTTCACCTAAGCCTTTGTCTCAATGCCTGCTTCAGAAGATTCACTGAATGCAATGCAAAGAATGTTGCTACGGGTGCACATGGGTGCACAGATTCACAGAACCAGTAAAAGAGAGCAACCATTCTTTCTCCTTCCTGATTACACCTTCACAGGAGGATGGTCATTATGACAGAGACGTGTCCTGTATAGAGAAATCACAGTAACAATCACCTGCACACCATTTATAGAAGTCTATGCCTCGGCTGTACTTGCTTACGTCACTGCCAGCATATTTCTGAGGACAGTTATCCATCCATCAGCACTGTTTGCTTACAGCAGAGGAATGAACTGAGTATGAATGGCCTTAAAGCCTATTTCTAAGCAATGAACGGCCTGACTGTGACCTCATTGCTCCCTGTCACATTTCTCCCTTGAAAACTTAATCGACATTAAACGATCTTGACACATGTCCACTGGCTACAGGAAACAGAAGTGCAAGCCTCCTGCTCTTCATTCTCCCTAAAATGGACACAAAGACAAAGCAAGCACGTCCCTGCTTAGTAACAGAGGAGAGGCATTAACCTAACTCCTAGTGGGTACATTGCACAGATCCTGATGGCATGTAAATGCACAGGGCTCACTCCCATCCACAGAGCTCTTTATTTGCAACATTATGGGATGGACAGCTCATGCAAGATTTTCAATCGAGAGTGCTCACTGGAACGGAAGTTTTCTTTTTCATCAACAGATGTTCTTCTGAGTTGTACAGATGGATTTTTGCCAATACACTCCATTGGCAATCACATCCTTCTTATCATAGAAAATTCATCTTAACTACTTCACATGATATATGAGATTTTTTGTTGTTCTCACACAGAGTCTTACTGTATAGCCCAGACTAGCCCCAAACTTACAATCCTCCTACTGCAGTTTTTCTAATACAAAATACTTACTAAACTGAAATATTGTTTCCACTGACAATCTTAGTTATTAAAAAAAATATGGCAAGGAAGATGATTCAATGGATAAAGTGGTTGCTATGGAAACATAAGGGCCTAAGTTTGCATCTCCAACATCCACATAAAAAGCCAGAGCCATGTATAATAAACTTTGGTCTCAGGACATGAAGAAATCAAATTGGTTTGAACTGAAAGCTTCTTTCCTGGTGTCTGGCTTTCATAGCACTAAAAGGTGTCAAGTAGTCTACAGAGGATACAGGAAGTTAGTTATCTGTTGATAACTTATCTAGTTGTGAACTCTGTGGACTACAGGAGTGGTCTGAGTGTCATCTTATTCCTATGGATACAATAGTGGCACAGATGCTGTATGGTCAACCAACACTTTCTGAATGGATTTAAGGGCGGAGTGAGGAAACACATTCCTGGTACCATAAATCTGGCCAACAACCCATGGTTGGGCAGCTCACAGGCCCCAGAGGTGAACCAACTACTATTCTTTTGCTAAATAAGCATAGTATCAAACTGCTCTCTAAGTTCCTATCTCTATGTTTGAGGTTAGTTCAGCTCCCCAGAGACATTTCTTTATGACGTGGGTGGCAATTAACCCAGAAATGCACAGCATACCAAGAATGAGTGTCTGTTGAGTGCTGAGCCACAAATGAATAATTTATATTACTCCAAGGCTCAGGGATCATCGAGGAAGAATGTGCCAAAAGGCTATAGGAGATGGAGGTCAGGGTGACTGGACTGAAACAGTATCTCCTAAACCTGACAGAACAGCTGCACTCACAGACTCCTAGTAGCCGTGGTTGTCTGAATGAGATCTGTACAAGAGTAAGCCAGTCAACAGTCCGACCTGAAATGGGGAGGAGACTGTGCCACCATTAACTGAGAAGATACTAGCCGCCCCTGACTCTGGAAGAAAGAGAGTCAGGTTTATGTACAGCACTTGTTCCTGGTAAGTCAACCATTCACCAGAGGATAGCTCCACGCCCATGAGTATATGGGCAACGCAAACTAGACTGGGTAGGGAATTATAAAGAAACGAAAGGAGCGCGTTAATTTGGGAGGCACATGGGAAGGGAAGGGTAGATCTAAGGAATGCTGGGAGAGAAAATAAGGTGAGCATGATTACAATAGGTTACATGAAGTTCTCGAAGTATTAACTGTAACATACTATTTTTTTTTAAATCAGGTACAATGCCACATGCCTGGAATACTAGCGCTAAGGAAGAGAGTCCTGGAGCTCACTGACCAGCAAACTCTAGTAAAAGACTCTGTGTAGAGCAATAGAAAAAGATACCTAACATCAGACTCTGGCCTCCACAGTCCAAATACAGCACAGTCACACCAAACATGAACATACACACAAGCATCTCTAGTCTTCAGAGAGAAAAAAAAGAATTCGGTTTGTCATCTAAACTGCCATAGTATCACACTTGACCACTCTATCTCTTTGTTCCCTTCAGTTTACTCTATGACAAAATATGAAGGCACCTATCAGGAAATACTTATAACAGCTATATTTCAGCAGTTCAAGAGATGGCTCACTTGTCACAAGCTCTTGGTGCTCTCCCACAAGACCTGAATTCAGTTCCTAGTACCCACATCCCAGGACTCACAACCATCTGTAATTCCAACTCCAGGGGATCTTATATTTCAGGATCGGGTGCACATACCCACACACATCTAAATGTAATTAAAAATAATTTAAGAAGATAAATGCTTTGTATCGCAACATGTGTCAAAGGTTCCCTTGGATATTTACGCTGTTAACTATTTAATATTCAAGTTACATTACTTCTAAAACCAACTGTCTTTCCCACATCAAATCTGTAATTTAACTTGTCTGTCTCTCAGAAAAATATTTTCTGAAGCTCATTCATTTGAACTTTCACCTATAATTTGATGAAAATGAGATCATATTATCTACTATCTTTTATATAGGAAAGGAAGAAGGCAACAAGTTCTCAAATTTAACAGCATCCTGCTCTTCAGAAATACCCATGAATTGTTTTTTGTGGTTTGTTTGGGTTTTTTCTTTGTTTTTGTTTTGTTTTTTGTTTGTTTGTTTTTCAGAAAACATGAAGGTTGTCTGTCAGCACATGAGAATATGTCTCTTACTGCTTTGTGGTCTCTAACTGATGTCATGTTAGTCTTTCTCCATTTGCTCTTATGTGTGTGTGTGCCCTGCTGTTCTTATCCTGACCCGTATTGTGGTTAATTTCTAAATCATCCAAATGTCCTAGCAAGGAGATGGTATGCAATTCCTGTCAACACTGAAGCCAAAGCACAGGTTACTGAGGTGAATGAGGAGAAAGAAAAAAAGTGGTTCATTCCAAACAAATCGATGTGAACTGAGAATATATTTAGGATCACAAAATAAAATAAAACAAAACAAAATAATAAAAGCTGCTAAGAAACACCTTGGCCTCTCCCTGCTTTTTGCTGTCTTGTGTTGAGCATTTCATCCCCTCCACAAAGGTCCCATTGTTGAGGTGACAGCAGAATCCAAAGCAGAATGAGTTATTTCTCTGCCTCTCTCCATCTGAGGCATAACCTACCTGTATTGCTAACAGAGCCCTTCTCTGTTCATTTTCATAGAACTCACTTCTGCAAGAAAACACAAAGAACTTGTGTAGTCAGAGGCCCCTGGGCAACCTGAACAGCCTTTCCCAAGAGGGAACTGGTGTTTTCCTCCGGCTCTCCATCACTTTTATCAAAGAGGCCTTTCTTGGTTTAACATTTAAGGGGCCCCCTCCCCTCTATGGAAGGGTGAGATTTGGGTGGTGGAGCTGTCTCATTTTACAAAATTCGGGACTGTCCCCAAATCTCTCCAGGCTCTGATATAAACTGAATTTTAGGAAGGAACTTTAAGATTGAGAGATAAACAAAATAGTGTAACACTGTAGCACCAACAGGCATAGTTTCTTCTTCCTAGAACCTCATGAGTCTGGTGAAGTGGATATTTATCAAAGGCGCATTTACCTTCCCATACATAGTATTCTAATTTCATCTGTTCTGTATCACTAAAAAAATAGAGTGATATAAATATAAGAACACTTAGTTGACAGTTATCCAAACCAAATCATTAATTCACTAAGTTATACAGCTGTTTTAAGGAATTTCATATTTTGTACTATATTTATGAATAAAGATATTTTTAAAAATCAAATGAGTATAATTCTGCCTTTCACTAAGCAAAGCAGTAAAAAAAAAACTATTTTCACTATTACTAGAATCATTATAGCCACTTAACCACTAAAAGTGGTTTTACTTTATGCTAACAATGTAGTACATTTACAGTCAATAATCTGTGTCAACAGGAAAAATGTAAAGAGACATATTACTGGATGTAACTTCTTTTCAAACCTTTGAAATGAATTAAATGTCTCTTTAGTACCTACAGGCTGCGGACAACACCAGGACTTCTCACAAATATGAAAGTGAATGTCATTTCTAATGTTTGGAAATATTTCAAAGAACATCTCATGCTTTTTGTCCATGTTTCACTTGTTAGTTTAAAAATGGACACCACTGTCTACTGAGTTTGGCATATTCTCATTCCTTTGATGTTTCAGAACGTAAAGACAAAGAAATACTCACTCTGATGTTTCTGTCAGGATAGATGACATACAAATGTATCCTGCCAGAGATAAATACAGGTTGGTGAGACTGCAAGATATACAAACATCCTGGTCTGGGTTCTGCTGCTTAACAGATCATTTTTATCCAAATATTAAAATACGCATTGAGGATTGCTGCTATTTTTTTTCTTTTTAGAGGATTCTGACCAGCTAATAATCTGTAATATCTATAATATCTGGGGTGAGCAATAGTCCTCCTAAAAGTAGGGCCAGTGTCTGTAGATGCACACAGTGCCATCACACAACATGATTAATGTCCATTGATTTACACAGTGCTGTCACACAACAGAGTGGGGGCCAGACGTGGAATCGCTGGGCTATTCTAGTGCTGACTCTACCACTTAGTATCTGGCAAGCTTAAGAATGATGCAAAACAAAATGATCATGTTGAACAAGCCAATCTCACTGCCCCTCTGCACAGTATCCCACACAGCATCCGGCCCAGCATCCTACATCTTTCTCCTTGAGAGCTAAGTGCCTCTCTGATGGGAAGAGTATGACTTTTCTGTGTCTTTCACATGTCTGTCATTTCTTCCATTTTCCCTATAAGCTCCAAACCCTAGACCCTTTATCAAGGATCAAAAGGGGGGAGAGGGAAGTACATAAAAATAAATGCCATCTCCATAAAAAACATATAACAAAAATTAATTTATAGGTAAACTTGTTAGTTATTAAAATGGAAAGTCCATCCATAACCTCAAATGTTAAAGTTAGATCTAAAAACGTTTTTTTTTTAATTTTTAGATTTTAATGACATGCTGTAACCTTAAATATTCATTAATATAAATTCTCAAATGCTTACATTACACATGGGAAATCATTGTAAATCATGTTGGAAAAATGGAGTAAGTTTGAATGACTGCACATAGAGATAAAGGCATGATTTTAAATAGCCACTTAAAGAAAATTCAAAGCACACCAAGGGTACAAATTCTCTACATTCTTAAGAATCCAGTAAAGTTGTCTGAATATGATTTAGTGCATATATGTTCTAACGACGTCAAAACACTTGAGAATTAACAAAAAAGGAAACTATCAGTTTCAAGAGAGAGACGTGTGATAAACGAAGGTCAAGATACGAAAGCTCTTACCTCGTAATGAAACCAGCAGTATAGGAAGGGAGAGAGCACGCCAAGGTACCATCAAACTGACTTCCCTCACAATGCTCATTTCAGTGGACTCTTTCTCCCTGGACTGAAACCAAAGTGTCAGTCTTCACTATGATGGCATCTTTCAAGAGTGAGTGTTCGTTGTGCGCTCAGGTTCAAATGAATACAGTTATGGGATAAAGCCACTGAAAGAAAAACCCCAGGCTTTGCAACTACACACAGTATCTGAGGTTTTAGATAGAGCTCACAGTCAGCCCTTTGGCTGGGTCTCTCATTAGCTATGCAAGGCAGCCTCTTGCCTGAGCCCGGATTAGTTACAGCCGGCTACACACCTGCCCATCATACACCGTTTTAGCCCATGTCAGCCGTTCTCATAACTTCGAAAGACTGGAATCATCCAAACCATACTTCTTTATATCTTCTAGCGTCATGAGAAAACTTATTCCCAAATGTTGGTATATTATCTAAGTCTTATTATTCACAGAGTAGTAGCTTTTGAAAATAGGAGGAATGAAATCTAATTAACTTTTCCTACAGTATCTACAATATTGTATCTTATTCTCCAAACGTAAAAGTAAATTAAAACTATGTGCATGTATTTTCAACTGAAATCCTATTATGGCACCGAGATAAGTTGACATTTTCATCGGTCCACCGAGCTGTTAGACATTGTAGAAATCGTCTAGATTTTAAAAGAAAACAATGCTTTTCTAATATTTGTCTTTAAAAAGGAAACTAAACAATTCAGCAGGTACTGAAGAGCTTTTTGATAATCCATTTTTTCATCTTCTATGACAAGTACCTGATTAGATTACAAAAGAGGGGGGTGGGGAGTCTGTGTTCTTATTCCAGCCACAGGGCATTCTTCTCCAGAAGCTATTGACTGCCTAGAACAGCATCAGAGAAGAGCTATCGTCTTTCAAAATGAACTCTGGAGAGATCATCTAAGCCTACAAATGAGTGAAAGCCATGTCTAGGCCGTGGGTTCACATTTCTTACAGCAGATTCCGAGACTCGCCTTGCCCTTGTCCCTCCCACTTAGCGGACAGAACACAATAACAAGAAACATCTGATTACAGAGGTACTCCACAGCAGTTTTTACTGTCCGCTGTTTCCCAGACCCTTCCTTTGCAATGACTTCAAAGTATCCAGTGGTTGACTCATCCAATATCCATTACATACATAGTTTCCTCTTATGGTCCCAAATTCATTGATCATGTATTATTGTTCCATGTGGTCTTAATTAGTCCCCATTGATATTAAAAATAAAACCAGCTAATTCAATGAAGCAACAGAAAATGTACACCCCTACAATAAAAAGGCAAGCACGAAATACATACATAAATAGTATTAAATTATAAAATATAATAGTGTACCTGTCTACAACACATGTGTACACACTCATTTTAAATTTTAATTCATCTATTTTACAGGAAAGCATGCATTCGATGATATTCACTAAAAAGTTAATAGTCTGTTGTTCTTGAACTAACTAGAAAATCACCTAAGTCTACACAGATAGTCCACTTAATAATTTATATTTACATTCTAAACTGGTCCAGAAATATGTATCCACTAAGCCATAGTCAAAACTACAAAATAATTCCGTTTTTAGTGGGTCAGTATAAGATAATGGAAAAGCTAGGGTTGCACTCTGTTTAGAACATAAAATTTAACCTCCAAAGAGCTTTCTCAAACAGAGAAGTAAATTTTTTGTGGAAAATGTTTTAAATCAACATACATTACTAAACCTTTTCGTCTATGCCCCTGGCTAATTTATAACTTGACTTTCCTCATAAATAACATATGACATGACAGATGTATAAATCATGCTTCACAATTGTTTTTCTCTGTCTACTAACATCTTGAATTTTTTTCTGAAACAAATTTTTTCATAAATGATGTACATACAGAAAAATCTTGAGTTGAAATCAAAGTCAAATTTTGTTATTCAATAGTTTGATTACAAACCTATGTATTTTAATGTACCTGAAAACTACCTAAAAAGACTTAGAAAACAATAAAAAGTCATGTGAACTGCATATTTCCCATATAAACTGTGATAGCATGTGAAATTAATTAAATTGTAATAACTGAAGTCTTACCTCAAATTCCATAGGAATCTTTTGATTCAAAAGCATCACTTCAATTTTTGCTGAATAAAATTGAAGATGTCAACACTGTATCATCTCACTTTTTTCTATTTTTCTGTTTTTAAACCGTCTGTTCAGAACCTGAAAGGTGTTTTGTCTAATAAGGAAAGCAGTCAAAATTACTACACCAAGAAACAAAACAAAACAATCCTGAATTTGGCCATTCTTTTCTAAGTAGAGGCTTACTGTGTGCCTGTCTTCTGCCCCTGTACGTCAAGGTTTCTCATAAGGAAGAAATTACAAAGAAAGCAATAATTAAATGCCAAGTTCTCTCTCAAGGAACTCCATCATGAACTTGTTACCTGAAATGGTAGTCAGCATGAAAATAAGCAATGTAGACTTCCATGAATAGCTCCAGCTGAACAGAGAGTCTAGATGAAAGATTAGACCCAGCAAGACAAAAAGGGAATTTATGATTATTGCTACATGTGATTATTGCTGTCAAAATGATAGCTTTTATTTCTTTCTACCCTGACAAAGGAACTTAGACAAAATGTGAGTCATCCACCAGTTTATGAAGAGATCCTAGGTTCGTAAGAATCCTGAAGCAAGCCCAGAATGCAAGCAATAAGCAGTTCCCTTTCTGTACTGTGAATTTTCCCACATGGAATGTGACCGTTGAAAGTTGACACCTAACCATCTGTTGGCCTCAACACAGCACATTGAAAACAACTGGCAAGAATGGGAAATCTCTGACCTCGTGGTATATATGTCACTGATACAGGGATGCTGTAATAAAATATGTTGTCTTTGAGGATCATTTATTTCCCTACATATTTACGTAAGATTCATTTGCATGAATTGAGATCAAATCTAAAGTAGTCAACACTCAATTCCCATAATATCACAGACTGCTAGTGAAATTCAACTATTCCTCCTTTGTTTTGCTAAACCCAACACACAGCAGTTTCCATGATTTTATCCAGAATTTGTCTTACCATCCAGACACCAAAAAGAATCTATCTCTAAGATGAATTTTAGCTCTCTGAATTTCATGTTTTCATTTTTTTTAATTTATTTATTTTAAATATGTGAGTACATTTGTGAGTACATTGTAGTTCTCCTCAGACACACCAGAGGAGAGCATCGGATGGTATTACAGATAGTTGTGAGCCAACGTGTGGTTGCTGGGAATTGAACTCAGGACCTCTGGAAGAACAGCCAGTGCTCTTAACCGCTGAGCCGTCTCTCCAGTCCTCAGATGCTTTCAAGCTGTGTGCTATGTGGCTATTTCTTTGGTGTTTTACATAATTTAATTTACATGTGATCTATCTTAGCTTTGCCATATAAGTATATGTAATACTTCATAAGTCATTCTAAATTGGTCACAATTTCAATATAAAGTTTAGTCCTAAAGGTCCATCATTCTACAGTTTATAAGGACATTAATTTTCCAGGTTGCCATGGAGTGATTGGTTTGCATGTCCAATGAGGAAAGAAGGAATGTTCCTCCAATTAGCTTCTTCTTGTTAAGATCTTACTTTGCCTCTTGTGTTTGCTAAACTACTACCACATGCTGCATTTACATTACCTAGAGCATTGTGTGAGCATTGTGTGTGTCTCTTGTGCCGGTGATTCCTGCTTGTATCATTAACATTTGTGTGCCCCTACCTTTAAAATTGCTGAGTAAAAGTATTTTCATGCCCTAAAGATAAGCAGTGATGGTTTCAATTCTCCTGATTATAGAGGTTGCTTCCTTCTAGGTTGACTTCTTTAAGGGTTTTACAGTTGTGTGTTGTGTATATGGCTGGCAGGGCATTCTCTGTGAGAATCCTTTAAGCACAGAGTATGAATTCAAATCCTGAATTCAAATTGAAGGAAATCAATTTCATTCTTGCTTTGGCTTTGACTTCTGATAATGTCACTTACATCTACATGAAAGCATCAAATGATTTTTGTGGTTAACTACTTTATCAACTCCAACTAGTAAGTTCTAATGTCATATAAACTACCATATTACCAAAACCAAAACACCAATCGTCAGAGACATGTTTTTCTTTCCATGTATTTTAAATATTTGCTTTCTTTATCAGCTTAATCACAGTTTTCCTTCTCAGCTTAATTATAAGTGAAAATTATTCAAAACAAATAACTGCAAAATTGTTTTTTTTAAGAAAGCACACCAAAACAACTCCTCTTTGGATCATATTACATAAATTATAAAATCAAACTATTCAGATTTACTGGTGCTATGATTGGATGGTTTCCTATCATACTAAGATTCCAATTCAAACACCAACAACCTGGATTACGATGGTTGCCTTTGTAATGACTGGATGGTGTCAGATGCCTGTTTGATCACACAGTTGCTCTGAATTGGAAAGGTTGCTAGTGAGTTGTCTTTGGAGATATGGTATTATTGAGATTTTCAGCAGACCACAAATCAGTATGAAAATGACAGAGGAGATCAAGTTCTTCATTGTGACTTAAGAATCAAATAACAGTTGGTTAAACCCCAAGAATGTACCCCTCATCTTGACATGACCTCTCCTCTACTCCAGGCCTGAATTAGACTCTTACTAAATTACATACAAAATTGTTATCATTATCTCCCAAAAGCTGCACTGAGAATGCCCTAGCTCCCTTAGAAGGTTTTCTTTGGTCTTCTCTTCTAACAAGATAAGTTTATCAACTTTACTTAGAACACAGTGGCAGCTCTTTAACTAGTGTGTACAGGAATTCCCTAGGGAGCATATCAGATGCACAGATTCCCAAGCCTATCTCCCCTACAGTTCACATTTTCTGATTGAGTCTAAGGACATTAGGCATCTATGTTTTGATAATGAGTAAATCTGGCTTTCGAAAAGAGACTACAAGACAAGTAGAGGGGGAAGGAATGTAGGAAAAGTATAAAATACATCGAAATGAATTCCTCTGGAAA